AAAGTTAGGCCGAATTCTCCCAGCTTCCTGTGACTGTCTTCCACTCTTGCATTCTGATGCACGTGAAAGAGCTGTGGTCTCCTCTCCCCGGAACGAGTTCATCACTTTCTGGAATGCAGTTCATCCTCTTTTCCTGTGTCCTCCGCTCTGGTGGGTTTCTCCTAGGGCTGCCTCCTGTTGCATGGTAAGAGGGGGATGGTCGCCGGCACATTTCTCGGTGGCTCACTCTTGTGGCTGGGGTGGGAGGGAATGGGCTCCTGACACTACACACCAAGTCTGCCATACACCTGAAGGAGGTGCCTCCGGGTCGTTCTCCAAGGCCATGGTCTCGGAGGCCCCCGCCTGGGCCCACCTGCCCCTCTGGCATGAGCGCGCCTTGACTCTCAGTGTTCCCTCCATCACGGCACTTGCTCTAACTTTTTAACTGTATGTTTTGCTTGTTTGCATTCTCCCCACTACCCAGTAAAACTGTAAAATCCTAAAGGGCAGAAACTAACTTTCCTTAACCATTCCCTCAACCCAGCACCATTTCTTATATGTTAAATATATTTTTAAAACATTTCCAAAATAAATCAGCTAATTGTTGGTCTTGGTACGTAATAAATTTCCGATTAAACCTCCTCAGTAACAGAGCAGACAGGGAACTTACGGTGTTCTGCATAATGGGTACAAGGATTGTGAACCGGTGCTGCGTAGTCAATAAAACAAAAAGCGTCACCACCTTACAGTGCAGAAGTAATAAGGACGCCTTGATTTACTGATCAATAAGAGCTCAATTAGTGTGGCAGAGCTTGATGTGCCCTAAGAGAACGAGCATGATTTTATTCCCAGTGGCTTCTGTTAGGGTGTAATCCGTGTGAAGGCCCTGAACGACGTCACATTTAGGATATTTTCTCCACATAGAGTTTCATGAGTGATGACAGATACTTAGAAAACAATGCTTTACCAGAAAATTCACAGGAAGTTGACTGTACCTTGAAAGACTGTCAGTATACAAAGCTTAATTTCCAATTACAGTATTTCATCAGCTAAGACGTGGGGCAAGGGAAGCTGTGGCCGGATCCCCAGCTCCCGATATTTACGGGGCAGCAAAATCTGCACGGCAGCGCCGCGGCCTCAGGTCACACACTCACTGCCTGTGCCTTCTTCAGCACTTATTCATTAGCGAGATGGCTAGAGCTTTCTCCTCATTTAAACACTGGACAGAAAAGAAAATGAGTTCTGGGTTTTCACGCATTTTTTTAAATAGTGAGAAGCATCTATCTTAACAACAAAGAAAAATGCCTAAGCCAAAATGTCAGCAAGTGCTCATTTTCCAAATAACCATGTGGTAACTGTGGTAACTGCCCACGTGCTGGAATGACCACGGAACTCATTAATTCAAACCGGGGCACCTGGGGGGCAGACACTGACTCCCTCCTGACTATGCTGAGGGCAGCAGAGACCAGCGTGCCAGGCCAACCGCGGTGTGTGGGAGCTCAAAAGTGGCAGAGCCAAGCTTCAGATAAGGCGGACCCTGGCTGCTGCTGGGGAATGTTTGACATGACTGGTGCCCACACCCTTCTCCCATTTCTGTTTCTTCAAATGGAGAGCAGACCAGGTAGAGGCAGTGGTGGGAGAGGCCCCCTGCCACACACCCAGCGGCCCTGGGGAGCAGCAGAGCCAGGGACACACCCAAGAGATCAGCCCCCAATGCCTCCATCACGAGCTCCCAAAGGAAGGGATGTTCTGGGACAGAGGCAGCTGCCACGCTCGCCCTGCGTGGGAAGGCTGCTCCAAGAGCACTCCTGGGCATGTGCTGAGAATGCTGGAATTCTGCTGCAGGAGGTCAGGACTGGAGAGCCTTCGGTAAATGCGGCTGGTTCATGTGACGAGGCCACGTGCCCTTTGGCCTGCACAGCACTCAGCTGCTGAGTCCTGCAGAGCCACTGAGCACCGCAGAGGGCCCAGGATTGCTGCACACTGCCTAGGAAGGCATCCTGTCCCCAGCAGGAACTCGCTGTCCCCAGGAGCGGCTACGAGCCATCTCACGGGGCGTCACGCCGGTACCTCCCAATGGCTCAGCACAAGCGGCTCCGTGTCCACCAAAGACCTTCACTCTCGGCCAGCTTCTGCAACTTGCTGCAGCTCGTTTTCGATGTGTGGATGTGGCTGGGGGCCAGGGGAGCTCTGTGGGCTCTCAATTCACCCTCCAGGCAAATCCGTCCTGTGCCTTGTTCCGCAAGCCAATTCCATTCTCGCTCTGACTCTTTTGTGTTAGTGCAGGGGCTGTGTCACAAAATAACTAAACCCGGAGGAGGAGCATGACGATGGGTTCAAGATGGAACAACTGAGGCTCCCACTGAATGAAACCAAATGCTGTTTGCAGCTGGTTCCCACAGCCCCGTCCGAGGCGCGTCGGGGGATCCTGCAAGGCCACGCTCCTGCCCTTCTCTCTTCAGTAGCCCGTGGAGAGGGCCCTGGGACATCAGTCCAGGTGAGCACGCCACCATCAAGTCAGGGGGAGCAGACAGTAAACTGCTTCACAGAAACATGTCGCCTGATTTCCTTTCAATCAAACTTCTTCGAGTTTCTGGAACTTTTAAAGACGTCCCCCCTTCCCTCATATGTTACTAAAACCATCTCCGGGCTGATCATTCACTTCCAGGGTCTGGGGACATGACATGACAGCACCATTAGAGACACAGAAATCCACAGCAGCCACGGAGCAGAGCAGCGGGCCCCACAGCCCTTCTGATGAAGATGCAACGGGCAGAGGAGGACGAAGCGATGGTTTGAGAGCTGGAGACGCCGCATTGCCCACGTTCAAGAGGGCGTGAGAAACGCGTTTCCACTGCACGGGCTGAGACCTGCTCTGCGGTGCCCGAGGGGCAGGCATGCAGAGGGAGCGTGTTTGCCAGCGACCCAGCGTCCTCGGATTCCCCTCATCAGAGCCGGAGACCTCCACTCGGACTTTCCACCTAATTTCCATTTCGTTTTTAAAAGATTATTTTATCAGCGGTAGTCATGCTTACCGCTTCACAACGCCTCTGAGGCCACTACCCTCATTCACAGCTGAGGACCCGGGTGCGGGTACAGAAGCCGGGCAGCGGGTGGAGGAGCCTCTGACCCAAGGCCAGAGCTGCGTGAAACCCACCTTCTGCGCTCACAAAATACAGCAGGACGTGCAGCGCATCACAGGCGCCTAGTTGCTCTCAGTTAATGAATAAAAGCTTTAAATTTAGCACGTTTAAAATAGTGTTAAGTGGACCAGGCCCTCTAGGGTGAGGCTCACACAGAAAGGCTCCCATGGGCTCTCAGGAAAGGCTTTAGGGCGCATTTCTCAGGCCAGCCTGATGGGAGGCAGGCCTGGCCCAGGGAGGGGCTAGGATTGGCCTCTCAGCCTGAGCCTAACCCTAGAGGGAGACCCGTGGCCTGCACTTCCGTGAGGGCTGAAGACCCCACCCTCCACCATGAGGGGCGATTTCGACCAGCCAGGAAACACAGCCCACGATCCGGAGAAACACAAATATGGCACAGGTGCCACTGAGCCCCCGCGCAGCCTCTCAACTGTGTCCTGACGGTCTGTTGCCCCGTGGCCCCTGCGTGGGCCCTGGGCCAGCATCAGGGCTCTGCCTGGAGGGCGTGGACAGCCTGGCTTCTGCATCCAAACGCTGTGTGACAACCTCCTGAGCAGAGGCAGGGCCACAGCAAACATGGCCGCCCAGGGGCTGACCTAGGGAACGCTCCAGAGAACCGTGAGGCCAACGCCAGGCCTTCCCGGGCACCGCCTAAGACACAGAAGTACCCCAGCTTCCTCACATGCCTGTGCCCAACATGCCCGCCTTGGGGTGCCACCTTCTGTGGAAACTCACCCTGTGGATCCCACGCATGGAGCAAGGAGTCCTTCAGAGTTAACTGAAGCCATTTCAGTGGCTCAGTGGCAGGAACATGATAGGAACTGGGCCCACCTGCTTCCCACAAGCATCCCAGGGCCACCGCTCCTGGTGAGACCCCCGTGGAGTCCACGGGGACGCAGAGTATCCTCGGACTTACCAGCCTTGCACCAGCACGGTACCATCTTAGAAAGGAAAGTGTGTCAACTCGGTGCCGATGTAAGCAATGTTTGGAGGAAAAGGGGTGTGTGAGCGCCGCCATCAGACCGCCAAGGCCCCCAGGGCCACCCTGGGCCTCCACACCTGGTCCAAAGCCCCACCGCAGGAAACGGGCAGACGACTCCTGCAGCTCTGACCCTCCCTGTTTCCAGGCACTGGGGACCTGCCAGCTTCGGCCTAACAAGTCGTCACAAAAATCATGCCTGCTTTTCCATTTAAAGAGCTCACTGACATTCCTGATTCCATTTCCTTAACATGTCGAGTGGGCGTTGCCTACGGAAGGGTCTCTGGGTGTGGGTCCTTGCAGCTCCCTCTGGCCCTGCACAAATGCTCCTGGGGTTCACCTCCCAGCCTGCCTGGGCTCTGTGTGTCCAGGGCATCCACCTGTGTTCTGGTGCCAAACCTCGTGCCCACAGGCAGACAGAGTCCTTATGCTGCCCCGGGCTGCCCCCGGGTGGGCTTGCTGGGGAGTGGGAGGAGCTTTTCCTTGGATGCAGTAGCTGCACCTGGTGCCCCTAATTCCAGCCACATTCATGGCCCCTCGGTCTCCCTCGAGTGGGTTCCTGTGTGCACTGCTGACCCGGGTTCCTTCCCAAAGGGTAAAGAGAAGCCACTCATCTCCTCTCCCTCCCTGGTGTGCGCCTGCGGTTTCAATGCTGGGCTTTCTGGAGTCACGACAGCTTGTCCCAAAAGAGATCCTAGAGAGCCTCACCCCAAGGATTAAGTGTTCATGGTGGGGGTGGCTGGACTGACCCCAGGCACACCGAAGGCCTGTTCACAGGCTGCCCGCTGGCGCAGGACACAGGCGTGAAGCCAAGAGGAGCCAGCGGCCAAGGAGACAGGCCCAGGTACCCGCACCCTGGAGGAAAAGCCAACCCCAGCTGCGGGAGGAAGCAGAAGGGTCACCTCAGCAGGAGGTCTGTCCGGCGCCGTCCGGGTCCTGGTGAGCGCGTCTGAGGCTGGGGCCTGGGATAGGGCCCCCAGGAAGGGCAGGTGGCGTCGGAGGGCCTTGGCCAGGGCAGCGCTGCCCTCCTGGCTGTGCCTCCTCTCGCTGCCAATGCTCTGTTTTGAGGGCCTGAAAAGCAAAAGAAACCAGACATCAATCGCATGTTTGCTGGTGCCGGAGCTGCCCCATCCCCTGGGGTGCCTGGGAGCGGGGCTAGGTGGCTGGCCTGGCCTTGCTGCTCCGTCACCATGGGTCTGAACTGATCCCGGCCCCCGAGGATGGTTAACAGCATCTGCCTCATGGTCGTGGGGACGGACGAATGACCCCTCCTGAGAGCTGAGAAGCAAAAGCAGCATGCAGGAAACAGCTGCAGTAACACTGACAGGTCCCTGGAGAGAGAGTCAGGACTCCGCACAGGCCCACGTACAGTCCTGACGGAGACCTGGGCATGGGGGAGGACATCTGTGGCCCTCTGAGTCTGTACCCTGACCCCTTTTACCCTCAGGTATGGCAGAAATCTCGTCTGAGCCAGAGGCAGTGTCAGCCCAGAACACGATAGGCACAGCCTCCCCGCCTGCCCAGCTCACCCACAGACGCTATGGCTGGCCTCGGTGGGCACGCAGGCCACCCAGATCTTTACAGCCCCCTTTTTCGCACACGACTAAAAGGGCCCAGAGCATGCTCCCAAATGAGAAAGAGAATTCCCACAGGAGACGCCTCCACCAGCCAGGATTAAGAACACCTGGGTGACTGAACCCCCCACCCCCCCCCCCCCCCCACACCTTCCAGCAAGTCCCTGTCTCAAAAAAAAAGAGTGCGTGGCCGGGCACGGGGGCTCATGCCTGTAATCCCAGCACTTTGGGAGGCCGAGGCAGGTGGATCTCGAAGTCAGGATATCGAGACCATCCTGGCCAACAAGGTGAAACCCTGTCTGTACTAAAAATACAAAAACATCAGCTGGGTGTGGTGGTGCACACTTGTAGTCCCAGCTACTTGGGAGGCTTAGGCAGGAGAATTGGTTGAACCCAGGAGGTGGAGATTGCAGTGAGCTGAGATCGCGCCACTGCACTCCAGCCTGGACGACAGTTCGAGACTCAGTCTCCAAAACAAAAAGTGTGTGTGTGTGTGTGTGTGTGTGTGTGTGTGTGTGTGCATGCGTGCGCGCGCACACACACACACACACACACACACACTCCATGCTTCTAATGAAATGCAAAGATTTTGTAGACTCAGAGTTTAGACTCAGATTAAAGAGCTTTAGATTCTGATTAATTTTAGTTTTTACAATTGAGTGCCTCATTTATGTCTATAAAAGAATGGGCACCACTGTTAAAGAGATGGGCCAGTGTGGGGGCCCTTGCTGCCCCCAGACAAGGGCAGCACCCTCCATGAGTCTGCTGCTCCCAGCAACGCTGCCAAATCCACGTTCTCCCAAGAGCCATGTTCGCTGATGACCCATCACTTCAGGTCCGACTTCTGCTGCAGTGCACAGTCCAGACACCACAGGCCACGGCGCCACGTCCACCACCACACAAGACTCAGGCCTCCTTCATCACAGGCTCTGCAGGTGCAGTTGGCTGCCATCTGCTTCTCCCAGGCCAGGCAGTGGCTACGTCTGAGCTGGAGGCAGGTGCCTTTCTGACCCCAGGCCCTGGCTGCCTCAGAGCCCCGGGCACAGCTCCACCTTGGCCTTCTCAACACCTAACTAGATCCTCCTTAGGGCAAGAAGACAGAACTACAGCTAGTGTCTAATAGTCACATTTAACAGGCCACAGTTGCCTCCAAGAAACATCACAGCATTTAACATTCGAAATACGAGCCTTCAGTAGATACTGACATTTCTCCCCCCAGCTCTGACGCGGGCGTTGACATGAATTCTGTAGACAGCTTTGGTATCAACCTCACAATGCACTTTTGTCATTTTTGTTTGAACAATCAACTTCTTTAAATGTGATTTAAGTGGAAGGAAAACACCGTGCTCCCTTGTGTGTTTCTGTCTGGCACCTCTCCCTCCGGCCAGAAGCGCAGCTCTGCCAGCCTGGCCATGGAGCTCTGCTGGGGATGGCACCCTTCAGTGTCTGTATTTCTGAGGAAGCCATAATTTTACCTTTGTATCTGAAGGATACTTACATGGAATATAGAATTCTGGGTTAATTTTCTTTTGCTTTCCGTGCTTTAAAAGTGCTTTCCACTGTCTTCTGGCCCGGAGCGTTCTCCATGAGAAACTGGCGTGGCCTTCCCTGTATCATCACTCTATGAAATGCATCTTTTTCTCCTCCGACTGGTTGGCTTTTTATCACTGGTTTTGAGAAATAGATTGGGATATTTCTTGGTCTTCATGTTTCTTTTTTAGGAGGCTCATTGAGCTTTCTGGGTCTGTGAGTTTATCATTTTTATCATATTGAAATAATTTTGGTCATTACTTCTTCAAATGCTTTTCTGCCCCCGTCTCTCCCACCTGGGGACTCCAGTTATAGGCCGATTCGGCCTCTTAGACGTGCCCACAGCTCACTGGTGTGTGTGTGTGTTTAAATCATCCTTCCTCGTTTCCTTATGGATAGTTCCTATTGCTGTGTCTTCAAGTTCACTAATATTTTCTACCATAGTGTCTAATCTGCTGTTCATTCCACCCATGAATTTTTCCTGTCTCCTATTGTGTCTGTGTCAGTTCTATGTCTACACTGATGAATTTGATAAGTTGCATTTTCCTGCTCCTTTTCATGCCAGATAATGCATGTCTATATATTCAAATTGTGAATTTTACCTCATTGGGTGATGGACGTTTGCATTCTCATAAATATTATTTACCTTTGCTCTGGCATTTAGTTAAGTTGCCTGGGACCAGTTCAACCCTCTCAGGTCTTCTAAGACCTGTTTGGCAGGAACAGAGCAGCAATTCTCTATGAGAAATTACTCTCCACTACTGAGACAAGACTCTGTGGGCACTCTACCTAATTATCTGGAAATTATGAGGTTTGCAAGTCTGACAGGTGTGAACAGGCACTATGCCTCACCCTGTGTGAGTGTCAGACACTGCTTGCTCTCATTTTTTTGGATGGTTCTTTTCCCTCATAGATACAAGATCATCAGTTGTCTACCAAATCCTTGGCAGTCGCTGAAAATCTCCAGGGCTCTCTGTGCACCTCTTCTCTCTTATACTCTGACCCATGACCTCGAGCTGCCTTGGTTTGCCCAGACCTTCATTTCTGTCTCATCAACTGCAGCAGTCCACTGAGCACCAAGTCCCCAAGGCAGCTGGGGGCAAGTGTCGTCCCCTCCCAAAGTGGCCCTCCCCCACAGGGGTCTGCGTTGCCCACGTTTACATCCATCTGGGAAGTCTGCTTCCCACACTGGCCCCCAGCCCCTGAGGAGGGGTCATGGCTCCTGAGGCCTCTGTCATGACTACACTGAGTCCAACCTCTCCTTGGCCAAACCCGTCTCTTCACTTCCCTATGTGGGGTCTTCTGAAGACCCTGCACTCAGACTGCTGTCCAGACACCCAACCAAGATGTGGGCACCCTGGGACCCTGTCCACAGCCAGTGAGGATCCTGGAGGACTTGAGTCATCCAGTGCCCCTGACACCAGCAGAAAGGCAATGACAGATTTCTCCTTGAGAAGCGCTCCAGGCCAGAAGACAGCAGAAAACATTTTTAAAGGCGTGAAAGAAAAAAAATGTTAACCCAGAATTCTATATCCTATGAAAATATCCTTCAAATACAAAGGTAGACTTATGGCTTTCTTAGAAATGCAGACACTGATGGACATCAACCCCAGCAGAGCTCCACAATGAGGGGTGTCACCAGTTCAGGCACCCTGGCAGGCACAGGAACTAGGTATCACCTCATTTTACAGGTGACGGCACCGAGGCCCAGCAGGTCACTGGGTGACACCGTGACTCCGACTCAGGGTGTTCCCCTGAAACTCGACAAACAACACGACTTTCTTCCCAGCCTAGGACCCAGGTCCATCAGTGCCCCACCAGCTTCACCCACACCTGACACCCAGGGTAGGCAGGACAGCGGCTGGGTGTCAGCAGTCCACAGCAAGGACCCCTCACTGCCGGCACTGTTATCTGCCTGCCCCTGACTTCCCAGGTCTAGAGACAGCATCTGTTGTGCTACAGGCTGACCTAGATGCTGTAGTTCAACCGAATAATAAGTACAGTGTTTTATAAATTGAAATCACTTTCACTCTCACTGTGACAGGGAATTTAGCACTGACCACATGGTGATCTCACCGTGTGTGTATGTGAGTGTGTGTGCACACACAGGCATGTCCATACACCCAAATGAATAGATACACAGATGAATACATATACAGGTATGTCCCCAAAAACATTTTTCAAGTTAACATTGTCTTACTAGAACGCCTCCTGGTTTCTAATCCCCAGATTCCATAGAACATAGCTGTCTTTCATGACAATGTTTTCTTGGCTGACGTTTTATATAAAGTATACATAAACGTATATGTGTGTGTGCAGATACACGTGCATACATGCACACACAGACAGTCCCCACTTACGCAGCTCAACGTCACGCTTCTGGATTTATGACGGTGCAGCCAGATGCATTCAGCAGAAATTGGTCCTTTGAGCACCCGTACCATCCCTGTTTTTCACAGGCAGCACAGTATTCAGTAAATCACACGAGATGCTCAATATCTTATTATAAAACAGGCTTTGTGCTAGATGTTTTTGCCAACCGTAGGCTGATGTAAGTTCTCTGAGCATGTTTAAGGCAGGCTGGGCTATGATGCTTTGTTAGGTGTATTAAATGCATTTTCAACGTATTTACAATATGTTTCCAACTTAGAATGGGTTTATTAGGACAGAACCCCTCCTCATAGTCAAGGAGCACCTGCATACATCCATATACATATATATGTGTATACATGAATGTATGTGTACGTGTGCATATATATCTGCATATATGTGTATACACGTGTATCTCCACATGTATATATATGTACATGCGTGTACACATGTATCCCCACATATATGCATATACATATGCGTATGTGTGTGCATGTGTATCTCCACATATATATGTATAGACGTGTGCATGTGTGTGCATGTGTATCTCCACATAATTATGTATATACATGTATGTATGTGTGCATGTGCATCTCC